GATTTTTAAGTAATATGAGCCCATGCCTTCATGCCCAGCACGTCCAATTCAACTTTCTCTTTATCCTTGGACAGTGAGGCAGCCTGACCCTAACATTAGCTCCTCCTGAGCTGCTAGGTCTGACTCTAGTGAGGACAGAAAAGCTCCTTTTGTGGGAACCAGGAAGCACTGGATCATAGGAAATAAGTCATCAGCCTTCATTGAATGTTATTTCTCTCAACTGAAATGGTCAAAACTCAAAACTGAGTGTCGCCACCATGTATACAGCAGCAGGAATGCTGTCACTAGGGTTTAACCCAGAGGTGCTCTACCGGTGAGCTATACCCCCAGTCATTTTTTTTTTTCCTGAGACAAGGTCTTATTAAGTTGCTGAGGCTGGCCTCAAATTTGATTCTCCTGCTTCAAATTCCCATGACTCCAGGATTATAGTTGTGCATCACTGTAACCAGTTTGAATGTTGCCATTTTTTAAGTATTTTTTTAGTTGTAGTTGGACACAATATCTTTATTTTTTTATGTGGTACTGAGGATCCAACCCAATGCATCCCACATGCTCAGCGAGCCCTTTACCACTGAGCCACAACCCCAGTCCTGAATGTTGCCATTTTTAAACACAATATTCTCAGACCACAAGAGAAGATACTGTAAATGCCAGCACAGAGGTGAGCTGGAGGGAGAAATGCCATCCTTCCTGAAATGAAACAGTCTCAGGACAGCTGTACCGAAACAGGAACCCAGACGTGTCAGATATATTGGTTTGGAAGCACAACTCCCATGTCCTCATGTCCACTGTATAGTATTCAACTTTCTCCTTATGACCCTTGCTGGCACTATGCCTTAACAATAGCCTCCTCTTGGTCTGGTTATTCCTCTCAGTGGAAGGAAGGGAACACAGCGATGTGGAAAATAACTATATCAAGACCTTCAAGACCAGTCAGTATAGGAGACAGTTAAAATAAATCTTAAGAGTAGGAATAGCTAACTAGCAAATTCATGATTAATTCCTCTATTTACATTTGTAATGGTCCACAATTTTCCAAGTATTAACCCAGAGGTGCTCTACCAGTGAGCTATACCCCTAGTCATTTCTTTCTTTCTTTTTTTTTTTTTTTTAGTAGAGTTTTCCTGTATACAATGCTTTTATAGAGGGATCATTTCTGATAGTTTCCCAATTCAGATAAGGAAAATATCATCTTGACTGGGTCTCCCCTCAAGGACAGTATCTCAAGGGCTTTGATAAACAAGAAAGTGACCTGGGAAGGTCCTTATGTAGTCAAAGGACTACACAGCTTCAAGGGTCCAGAAGTAAATGGTCTAAAGCCATCTAGAAGTGGATGCAGATACTTCAAAGATGCAGGTATCAGGTGTGACAAGATCAAGTTCTCTGAGCAGTAGCTGCTCCCTGTGAAGTAATCTTTTCTATGGAAACACCAATTGACCTTTCTTTATTCCAAGGGAAAA